TTTTCTTTAACGACGCAGTGTGTTCGCTTTGTTTGGCGTTCACAACGGGAATTTGAAATAACGATAATTTGTGCTTTTGGCTGGTCGGACAACCAAAAAATGCACAATTTCTACCAGGCATGGTGAAAACTTACATCTCGAATTATAAAAACAGCACAAAAGTTAAAGACGGCCTTTGGAAACGATGTTTCTCGATGAGATTTTTGCTTTACGCTATTAAGGATTTGTAATTTGATGCACACTATCAGTCACGTGACCCTCTAAACATGGGATCAAAAACATATGCCGAAACTCCGCCCACTATCCAAACCATCTCATTCTATTAACTGTGGTTTTATGGAGTAAATTAATGTTTTAAAGTATCATTATAAAGAATAAACATTCCTGAATTCACTGAAGTAATTTCATTTTCGTTTCCTTGTAAAAAAGTACAATAATCAATATACTCCAGAACATTTCAATGCCACTTTGAAGGTCATGTTCACTGACCCAAAACATACATAACTAGAGGGCACTCAGAGACTGCATACCTCCGCCCGCTACTCGGAAGTGAAACACAACCTTGGAATTTCCTAAGAAATCCACTTTGCAATTCTTAAGCATAAAAGATTTTAGGCCCCCGCGAATTGAAATCGAATTGCTAATAGATCATATTACTGTTGTTGTACTGTACAGTACTTGTAAAATAAAACTTATTAAGTGTCTTTAAATAAATGCATAAATTTTGCTTTATGCACTCGCGTGTGCAGTAATTTTGACAGTTATGCTATTTTAAATTCCCAGGCAGCTAAAATCTTTTGTCTTTAAAACAATGTCGATTTCTTGGGAAATTACGAGGTTGTGTTTTTTTTATACACCCTGTATTGAAGTAATCTAATGTTATTAGAATTTGAATGGACTGCCACTTTGCTGAACGCAATAATGCGTAACTCCGTAAGCCTTGTTTTAGACATTGAATTTCGGTCGCGTGAAATGCAACTAAGACAATAGATAATGAAGGCTGAAGCTTAATGAGGTTTATCGTCTCATTATTGTCTTAGTACTGCGTGTGTACATTATACACGTCCTAATTACGCATTCAGTGAGTTTTTTTTAATTGACCGGGAAAAGCAAGACAAAATTTTGTTAATTTCTCGTTCAATTTGTAACCAAATTCAACCAAATTTTAATCAGTTCTTCCTTAGCCAATAGGAAATGCATTCAATAAATTTCGTATGAATATGTTTGGTATTTCTTGAGTTATCGTGCTCACAGACAAACACACACACACACACACATACAAACCCAGATGATTACATAACCTGGCGGAGGTAACAAACCCAGATGATTACATAACCTCCTGGCAGAGGTAAATATAATGGGAATTTAACATGAACAAAACGCGATGTATATACAAAATTACTACAAAATTATTTTATTAAATTACTAAACAAAAAAGTTATCACAACCTACCTTTGAGAAACGAGATCTATATATTTCAACAGTTTTTGATCGAATGGCACATTGAGAATAAACATCTTGAATAATAATGAGCCGCATTGAGGCGCGCGTTGCATTTCGGGAAGACCCTCATTCCTCCACTAGACTACAATGACGTAAGCTAGTCCAAATATTCTATATACCTTAACCCATTGAGTCGCATTGTGCCCTATTTTATTATTTTAATTGTCTACTGTCAAACTATTTTACTCTGTCGAATGCCAGACTATTTTACTGTGTCTGACACCAGATGATTTTAATCGTCAAGGAAGAGCGCTGGCGCTTAATGGGTTAACTAGCCTATCTGTCCATGTGTCTAGTTAACCCATCAATCGCATATCGCTTTGATGCGCCCTACTCTATCATTTTACTCAGTCTAACGCCAGACGATTTTACTGTACTCGTCAAGGGGAGAGCGCCGTGCTTAATGGGTTAAGTGTCTATATGAACAAACCTTAGTTCGGTGAATAGGTTTAAAGTTTTGCTTCAGACACAAGATAAATCAGTTCTCTGCTTCAAATTAGTCATTTTCCCCAACAGCATGACTTTCTTTCTTCTTTCATATTTAATGCAATTAAGCAGTTGCAAAATCGAAAGTTTGTTCAAGAGCTGTTGTGCATCTCTGCTTTCACCACATCGTTTCTCTATCTCCACTCTAGATATTGTCTTACCATTTGAGATCATATCTTTGAATATCGACTGTATCGTTTCAATCTGAGCATTGGAGAAATTGCTGTTTCTTTCAGAAGGAGGAACAATACTAGCCGAAGACCCATCATCATAGTTCAAGCTCGGACTAGCCACACATGCAAACTTATCTTGCAACGATTCGCAAGCTTTGGGCAGTTCACAACCAACATCTAAAACGTCATGAGGTGCCTTCTGCATGTCCTTTTTGAGACGATCATAGATCCTTCTAGGTGACATACCATTAAGCTGTTCATTCCCTTCCACTCGACGGCGAACTGTGTCAAAGGTTATGGATTTCATCTTTATTTCTTCTTCGAATACCTTATAAACCTTACTAAGGTCGCTGTCCCTCCAAAGTACTTTCTTTTTCCCTTCTTCTTTGTTCCTCTCCAGGCCTTCTGTCTCATCTTCAGTGCTTTTCCCAGCCACTTTCTTTATATGTTCTTCTTCATTTCTTTCCAAGTCACAATTAGTTTCACTCTCACTTGAATCATTAGTGCGCATGAGTTTTCCGAGTTTCCTCGAAGCTTCCACAGATGCTTTAGACTTGTCAGAAAGAAGATAATACTTCTTTGCCGTTGTTTCTCTATGGGCCATCAATCCAGCCAATTTTCCACTTAGCTCAGGTTCCTCTGTGTGTACTTTGGTCACAGCAGCTTTGCGGAAAGACGTGGATGTAATTTTCTGATTAATTTTCGCTTTTTTAAACACTGACTGAATGGCCCTAGTTATCTGGCCCGATATCATACTTTGGCCATTCCAAGTGAGAAACACATGACCAGTGTTTGATGTGGTGATTTGAGCTCGCATGACTTCAACGAAGATTGACAGCCACGACATTAACTTTTGACTCAGAACAATTATAGCTGGGCCGTAGACATGGGCTGTTTTATGATCCATCACTTCTCTAACTGCCTCATTCTTTTCAAACTTTTTAATGTTCATCGTAGTTAGCCTATTTTGAAAGTCTTCTTCCAGCTTCTTCCACTTACGAATACTCGATTCTCTTCTGTAGCTTGTTGACCACATCTGGACCTTCTCCCGGGCTGCCTTTACATCGTCAGCACTGCAATCCATTTCTGCGGGTTTAGAGGAGAGAAGAAAAGAGAAGAAATGACGTAGACTCATGAGATAGGATTTAATTGTTCCAACCTCGTAGTTCTTGTCTACAACGTAGCATTTCAGGAAGACATTCCTGACAAGCTCCAGATCTAGCAGAGAGTTAATGTCTTCAGTTTCGTCGATTGCTTTCAGCATCCCAAACAATTGGGAACTGTGTTGTTTTGCGGTTTTCTCATCCCTTCTGCCCCCATCTGCGGATAGCATCCACTCTGCGAATTTACCTAAAACAGGACAGTCTGCAATTTTCACAGGAAAGTTATCTTCGGTTCTTTGCTGTGGGCCATCGGTCATTTCATCGACATCATCGCTGTATCTCTCATCTTCAAAATAGTCGGCAGATGTATTAGGTTTCTGCCAATCTTTCAGCAGGACAGATGTTTTGTGCATTTGTTCATACTTCCAGCAAATCATAGGGTGTTTCTTATCAGGAATGACTCTGGCTCTTTCCATAGCATCTCTATATTCTTTCGATGATGATTCCATTTTATGCACTTTTTGCAAATGCGCGGTTAAACGAAAAACAATTGAGTGGCATTCGTTTACTGGGCAACGGCGCCGAGTATGGTAATCTTTATGTTTACCACCTTTCTTCTTCTCTGGGGATTTTCTTTTTCGAATATTGTATTTGACCAAAACTTTTGAAGATGCTTCTTTGGACCACTTGTGCACATTTCTCATATGCCTTGGGAGGTGGATAACTTTCGATTTGCACGCCACTAAAGGACATGAAACCTTTCGCCTTTGATTTTCTTTCTTTTCTAACTTGCCACTGCCCTGGGGTTGGCCATGCAATTTTCCATTTTCAGATCTATTTAAAACCTTCGATTGTATTTTATCCAAATCCTTTTGCTTTCTTTTGGGTGAACTGCCAGTGTTTGCTGTCATTTTCACATCATCACTGTCTGCGGTTTCTGAATCTTCGTCAGAAGGTCTAAAACTCTTGTCACTGCCATCATTTTCACTTGATAACTCCTCTGAGACAGTGCCTTCATCGGTTTCCTAAGGGAATATTAAAATTAGAAAGAAATTACAAACAAAGCATAATGCAGGGTTCGTACACCTTCTCCCATTTAAAATTCCATGACTTTTTCATGACTTCCCACAACCATTTCTTTCAAAATCCATGACCTGGAAGTCTGGAATTTCTGAAGTTCGTTAATATTTTAACGATAACAGATATAATAAAAGAACAAAATTCACTTTGCCCTTGCAAAAATCCATTACATAACAACAATTCATATTCACTGAAGGGCTTGAATCCGGGTTTTTCCATTAATTTAGTTTATTGTACGATCGTCCAGATTAAATTTTTTAATTATTTCTGACGTTTCAAAGACATTATTATAGTTACAATTACAGTTATAATAATTTTATCTTGCGTCAAAAATAACCAAGCAAACAACATCACAAACACGCGCACGTCATTTTTGACACAAGATAAAATTATTGTAACTGTAAATTTTTTGTAACTGTAATACGTCTTTGATAATGGCTGCCGTGTAGGTAGCCGAAACGTCAAAAATAATGTAAAATTTTAATCTGGATGATCGTACAATAAACTAAATTAACAATTCATATTATTGTTATGACTGGTATACATTGAAATAAGTAAAATACTTTGAAGCCGCGTCAATGGTTACTAATACAAAATGCTTAAAGAGCGATCAAGTCTATTTGGCGGATGTCCAATTTGTTTACATTTTGAGCACATTATATTCACAAACCCAATTCACTGAATATGTTGTACTTAGTTAATAGGGCCATTAGATTTGAGGGAAAATAAGTTACGACTTAACTGGGACGCGTCTAATTTAGGTCACAAACAAGTTTGCATAAATGGTTAAATTTGTTCATAAATAATAACAGAGGTTGAAATTTATCCAAAATAAGTCCCAAGTTATCGGAAATGTACCGTTTATACGAGGACGTTTGTGGCTTAGACAAGAACAGACTCAGTTAAGTAAGTTGAGACTTATTTTACCTTGTATAACTGACCCTAATATCTGATATTGTTCTGCTCAAGACGACGCTCTATGGAGCGTTATCTCGTTTGGGCTATAGAAATACGCACATTAGATGGTCTACAATCATATAGCCAATTGAAGAGTTTCACCTGTCAAGATTTTAAATTATTTTAACCGTTGTACAACGTGTATAAAAAATAAGGTAATCCAAATTTAGCATGCCATTGTGCATTAATTATTTGGTATATGAAAGAATTTTTTTAATAATCATAAAGATCAGCTCCTACAGATTTCAGCTGTATGATGATAAGTTTTTCCTCCAGTATGAAGAAAAAATGAGCAAATACGAGTCCGATAAAAATTGTTTGTTGAAATTGCATATTTTCTCTGTTGACAATTGAGTCTAAAAATATTTAAAGTCGACTCCGTTTAGGCTTAAATGTGATGAATTTTACTTCAGAACAATAACTGCGTGTATGCATAATTATTATAAACATGTTGCAAACCAGCTGAAAGCTTGTTACTATTAAATAAAATGACACATTCGTGATTATAATTGTTTTCCGTTTGTTATGCACTTATTTAATTAGGTGAAAGCATAGTTAGCAGTTACGGTTAGCACAACAAAGTGCTTTCGTTCGAAACGTCAAAGTTTTAGTTGCATTTCATCCTCGTCCCCAGGCCCAAGCTCAGGCGGCACTCCAGATTTTGGGCCTTTCGGGCCATCCCTCTCAATCCGCAGCTTTCTCGTGTTATTGTCACTACCTTCTGTACGTTCGTACAGACCGTTTGAGTTTATATCACATTAAAGTGCCCTTGACACAAAAAATGATTTTCAGTCTATTGAAAGTACTCATTTAGTATACTATTCTAGTGAAAGTATTTTTAATCAAAACGAAAGAATTTTAGAGCCGTTTGAATCTAAATATTTTTGGCTAATGGCCTTCGGCGACAGGAGTCTGGCACTAGCATTTATTCTGACATCATGCAAGTGAGTCAAATCTCGATGGTCTGTGTTGTGATCAAGACACATGACCAAGAAAAGTAATATATATTTTATAAAGTAAAACAAACAGACCCAATACAGCAATACTAAATTGTGTCATCGTTAAACAAAACAACATGCTTATTTATAGTCTCAGGCTTCCAGGCGTATTGCCAGGCATGCAGGCAATAATATAAATAAATTAACATTATCATTACAACCCCCTTTTTAAGTAAATGTTTTGAAAATAGAAAAAGTCAGATTTAATAGCAAGTTCTAGTCAATATAGAAATAATTGTTTATACTATAACTAAGTTCAAAACTCTGATCTCACAAAGTCTCGCAGATGCGTAGGTGGCTTTACAACTCTACCAGAACGAGTTTGGACACCCTGTTCACTGTTGTTACGAACACAAGGTTGTCTTGATTGCGGCGCAGAACGATCAGAAGTAGACCTTGACGAGAGTGAAGGTGGATGATTGGGAGTAAAGGTTGGTTGATTTGGTTGTGGTAGTTGTACTGATAAAGGGTTAGGTGGTATCTCCATTTCATCATCAACGGCATCACACAGATCAAATCTTTCCGGTGTGCTAAGAAGATCTCTTCTATTTCTACGAATGATTGTTCCTTTCTCTGTTTTAACAGCATAAGATCTTGGCTGCTCAACTCTTTCCATTACTTTTCCCTTCACATGCCATGATTTACCATCCCTAATTCGTACTGATTGTCCTTCTTTAAGAGGTCGCAAGTTCTTTGCATGTTGATCATACTTTTTAACTTTTTGTGACGCAAGCAAAGTAGGTGATGTTTTCTCAGTTTTTATTGAAGGTAGAGGCGTTCGAAGATTGCGATTCATTAACTTAAATGCTGGGGACGGGGAATTGTCAGTTCCAGGAGTTGAACATAATGCAAGTAGTGCAAGGCAAGGGTCATCGCCACTTTTAAGGGCCTTTTTTATGGTCTTCTTTACAGTTTGAATAGCTCTTTCTACGAATCCATTACGCTTTGGGTATCTGGGGCTTGACGTATCATGTTGGAAGCCCCACTCTTTCGCAAATGTTTTATATTGATGCAAAGAATATTGAGGACCATTGTCACTAACTACAGTCTTAGGTATACCAAATCGAGCAAATATACTTTTGGTATGTTGCACAACAGTCGAGGCTAGGGTATTTGGAAGAGCACTAACTTCGAAATACTTCGATGTATAGTCAACAACAATTAGGTAATCTTTATTCTTTAACTGAAACAGATCAGTTCCCACTTTCTCCCAAGGAGTTGATGGAACTTCATGAGGAATAAGTTTTTCAGACGGCTGATAATATCTGTTTTCCACACAAGCATCACACTTAGAAACAATATCAACAATTTCACTAATCATACCTGGCCAATAAAGTGTTAATCTGGCACGAGCTTTACACTTTTCTATTCCAAGATGACCATGATGGATCTTTTGTCGCATTTCATCTCGAAGACTTGATGGTACAATGATTCTGTCACATTTCAGCAAGACGTCTTCATATAGCGTGATTTCGTCTCGAAAACTGTAATATGGCCTTACAGCAGGATCAACTTGTCTCGGTTTGTCTGGCCATCCATTTAGTACACAATTCTTTAATTTCTGTAAATCAGGATCCTTTGAGGTCTCCGTAGCAAACTCGGACAATTTCGACTTGGAAATTGTTCCCTGATCATTAATCATGTGTACAAAACAATTTAGTTCACACTCAGGTATTTCTGGAATTGAAACATCTAAGAATGCACGACTGAGTGTATCTGCTACAGGAATGTCCTTTCCAGGTACAAACTTGAAAGTAAACATATAAGGCTAAAGCCTTAGCATGAATCTTTGAATTCTTGCCGGCGCCTTAATAAGTGGCTTCGAATAAATTGCTCAACAACAACGTTTTTGTCCATATGGATATTCCTTAAATTTCTCACAAGCAAATACAACACTGAGAGTCTCCTTTTCAATCTGAGCGTAGTTTTGCTCAGACTGAGTCAATAAACGAGAGGCAAAAGCAACAGGTTTCCACGTACCCTCCTCTTGTTGCTCAAGAACAGCTCCAAGACCAAACTTTGACGAATCCGACGTGACTTTAATTGGATCTTTTGGATTGAAATACTTCAAGACTGGAGCTGACGTTACCATTTCTTTTAGCCTTTTCACTGCATTTTCTTGCTCGGCTTCAAAATGCCATGGAGTGTCCTTTTCTAGTAAGCAACGCAACGGTGCAGTAACACTGGCCAAATCTGGTATGAACTTAGCCAAATAGTTACACATCCCAAGAAATCTCTGTAGTTCAGTTTTATTCTGAGGAACAGGCATGTCAATGATTGCTGAAATCTTTCTTGGGTCAGAATTGACATTTATTCCAGTTCAGCTTGAGACCAGAGTCTTTAATTCTAGACAACACCTCGTGTAGACGTTGATCGTGGACTTCTTTTGTGTCACCCCAAACTATGATATCATCTTGGGCGTTTGCGGCTCCTTCGATACCTTCAATAATTTCTGCGATATCCAACTGAAAAATTTCGGATGCATTTGAGACACCAAAAGGTAATCTATTAAATTTATAACGTCCAAACGGGCTGTTGAAGCACAACAACTTCGAGCTTTCCTCATCAAGCTTGGTTTGCCAATATCCTGAAGAAGCGTCCAGCTTTGAAAAATACCGAGCACCAGTCATCTTTGAGATAATATCCTCTGCGGTAGGTAGTTGTAGATGAGATCTTTTGATGGCTTGGTTCAGATCCTTCGGATCAAGGCAAATACGAATACTTCCATCTGGCTTTTCAACAACTACTAGACTTGAAACCCAATCTGTCGGCTCAGTGACTTTGGATATAACCCCGAGTTTCTCCATTCTGTCGAGTTCTTCTTTAAGTTTAGGTTGGACGGTTATTGGAACACTTCGTGGAGGGTGAATAACTGGCGGAACACTAGGGTCAATAACTACCTTGTGAACTTTGGGCAGAGTACCAAGTTCTCCAAAGCAACATTCAAATTCAGAGATAAAACTGGGCAATTGTTCTTCCTTTGGTTTTACTACCATCACACGTTTAACTAAGTTTAAGTTCTCACATGTAGAAAGACCCAATATTGGTGGTGAAGTCGTTTCTGCGACAATAAACAGAACAGGTACATCACGAGTCTTTTTATGGGCAACTCGAACAATACACTTTCCAACAACAGGAATGTTAGTTCCATTATATGCAGTTAACTTCACTTTCGTATTCTTTAACT